ATACTGATTACCTAGCTATCTTGTAAAATGTAATTAGGAATAAATAGGAAACTACATCAAATTCAAAATATTCGTTTATTTATTCATTCATACGTAAAACACTGGAAAACATTGACTATTCTATAGTCGATAATAATATCATTAACTTACAGGCGAATTAGTTACCTCACATTTATCGAACATTTTATTTTACATTTTTTAAAATATAATATGCCATTAATTAATAAATTTAAAAATAATTCTGTATCAACAGCTATAGAGTTTTATTAGTTAGTATTAATCAGTCCATAAAATATATTTTTTAATTCTACAAATGCATTTAAAAATCTAAAATGGCTAAATTTTAATACTGTCCATCACCCCCATGCCCAAATCACATCTAAAAAGTGGCTGTTATCTATAGTCGAGATGAAGAGAGAGAGCAGTACAGCCTCGCTTGGTAATCACGTTATTATACGAATACTTTGTAGACTAAAAATAGCTTTTTTGGAGCTTTTTGTGTTCAATTTAAGTAATAACAATATGAGTTAAAGTTCGGCAATGTGACGTTCATCCAAATCCATTTTTCAGCCTTTAATAATTTTTCGTCATATAGGTAATATTTGAATCGAGCAATTTATATAATTTGATTACTAGTTGTAAGAAAAAGTCATGAATCGTTTTGAAATTTCTAGCTCTGCAATGTCAAAATCAGAGAATGTAATGTTATGCCAGTAGCATGCATGGAACTTGCATTCAAATTTAATGTGCTTTTTTTTCTTCGGTTATGATTTTTTTACATTTACCTATTATACTTTCAACAGTTTTTTGAAAGAAAGATTGTTTATATTAGTCGGTCGTCTGTGCATTTCCATTTACACCACTGGTTTGATTACTTGAAACTTTTCACTTGAGGATATTTATGCAAACCGTGATGATTGATTCCCCTAGTACAAATTAGAGTTTCAAAACATTCATTCTTTCGTTTTTATTCATAAATATTTTAATCGAATAAACTATCACTCATTTCATAACGCACTATCAAAAATTCAGCAAAATAAAATGCGGTACTATAAAAAATGTATACCAAGCTTCGATTAGACAGTAACATCAGGCACCATTCAGTAGCAACATCAACTGAAATTCAACTAATCACTGGATACAATCTAAACACAGCACGAAGGCACTATTTAAATACTATAACAGGATTTAATAAGAAGTTAAGCACATTTTTTGTTGATACAACGCAATCGTTTACTATAGTTTTTAACAACTCTTTGAATTTGGATGTTAAAGGGGCCTTTGAGGTGATTGTTCCTCGAGCTTCTTTACATTCTACACAGCTTATTTCGTAGCCTTTCACGATCAAATCATTTGTGCCAATGTTGTATGAATCTTGGTCGTTTATTAAGATTCCTTTAAAACGTATTTTGTCATCTGTCCGCAGCAGATGTGTGAAGTTAGAGAAGCGGTGATCGAATATAATTGATATTTCTGCGTGTCGTTTCAAAATGCCTCCCCTTGCTTCCATTATTATTTTTATTTCGTAAATGTATCTGAAAGTAAATAAGTGGTATTATAATCCTAGTGAAGTGTGAATATCTTATTGTGAAATATCTGAAGCTTTAATGAAACTCGATCTTAAATTAATACATTATGGCTCTTAATCCAACTGACAAGCAAGATTTAGTTATTTTGACTCATCACCTCTCTGCTTAGGCCATAGTCCACGAAGCTGACCCTATGCGGGTTGAGGATTACAACGTTTTCTGAGGGTTTTTCTTCACAGAAAGCCTCGCGGTAAATTTCAAATTAAATTTCGCACATAAATTTCGAGAAATTCAGAGATGCGAGCACGGATTCGAACCCACGTTCTTTGCTTGAGAGGTGGTAGGTCAAACCATCAGGCTTTTCACTAATACCATAGTAGAATAAGAACAGGTATGGTAACTCTATGCAAACGTCGCATCGCCGTGTACGGATGCACACATTTGCATAATCTAGCGATGAACTAGCATTGCATAACACGTGAGAGTCAGAATGGCGGGTGTACCTTCACGGATCCTGACAAATTTGGTATCAAAAAAATGTACCTGATTTGTACTATTTAGTACTTCTGTTTAAAAAGTTTGTACCTCCATCAGAACGAAGTTATAGCAATATCAAAGGTACACCCGCCGTATTGACTGTCAATATGGCGGGTGTACCTCGAATACAGGTATGTATTTATTAAATAACTATAAAAACTTCTTATTCCAAAAATTTGTAGCTTAATTTAAGTAAAGGAAACTCCAGCTCGATGTGCTGGTTAGTTTCTGAGAAATAAAAAAAAATATGTTGAGATTTCAGAGTGCTGTGTGCATCTTAACGAATCCTGACGTATTTGGTACCAAAAAATGTACCAAAATTGTATTATTGTATTATACAAATTTTTTATGAGTACATTCATAAAAAATTTGTACCTCTATCATAACGAAGTTATAGCGAAATCAAAATTGTAAATATTTTCGTAATTAAAAAAAAAATAAATTTCTGTAATTTATTTGGGTATCTAGGCAAAGGTTCCATCATACAGCCTCTTCATATGTTATATTTTTCCTTGTTTTGATGGAAAAGGTGACAAGCGCGTGTCCGTTCGTTCCAAGCACACGTTCGTCTGCCTCCATATTATGTCGGGCTATCGAGACATCCTCTGGTTCCTCCAGCCGCTAAGGTATTTGGGAACTGGTGAGACCGTCTCGGTAAGTAAGCGAGGGAGATTTGGTAGTGGGTTTTAAAGTTAACGGCTTAGTGGTGGCAACCGTTAGTTGCGCAATGCGCAACGGGAAGTGAGCGTGCCTACAATTCCGGTATTATCTGGAAAATAGGAGGGTACTTTGCATGCACCCGGGGCAGCTCACCCAAGGCACTAGCATTTTGAGAATCAGATGAAGTCCGTGCAAACGGGCTGAGCTGGGGCCAGGCCCTGACTGAGTAGGTTCCTGTGCGGGCTTACTTGCACAGGTTATAGTGTCCTTCCCGTATAACTAAGAGGTTGACAGGGAGAGTAGAAAAGATATGGGACTGGTCATTCCAAGCGCTCTTTCATTACTACGCGAATGTCTGCGTCCGTATATGACACGCGGCGGTTGCGCAAATACAAGCCGTACTGTTATTTTGTACGGAGTTACTCTACTTGTTTTATTCTACTAGGCTAATACCATTCGCTAAGTTTCAATTTCAGAAATCCATAGTGTTTTTCGAAATCGTAGCTGGTCGAGAGGGCTGGTCTGTCTATATCCATCTAAAAATATAGTATGAAGTAATATAAAAACTAAAACTTACTCATTAAAATTATTTAAATGGCATGTCTTCGCGCTTTGTCTTGCTACACCCCTCACAAACTGACAACTCTTATCGCCCTCTTTCGGACATATACGCTCATACTCCTCCCCATAATAACATCTGAAATATTCCTGTAATACACCAGGCAGCCATGATGCAAAATCATTCCATTTGTTAGTTACACTTTTTAATTTCACATCTCTGATGTAACCCTCCCAATTAACATTAGCACCGTCTAAAACTGAGCACTTAATCTGCGTGGCCGCAATGTTATAATCCAACCAAGAAGGAGAGTTGCAATTCGTATAATAATCTTCCCAATTTATGTGGTAGGTGCTATCTTCATAGTCAGTCATGAATTCATTTTTTAGTAAATTTTTAATACTTGATTTCTCTTCGCCCAATAATTCTATAAGTCCTGAAGGTAATCCGTCGTCTTGAACGTTGATTACGAATTGATTTCCAAAATATATTAAGGATATCAGGCCGATGGAAAGCTGTAAATAAATATTGACTAGTTAGTACTGACTTCTGGGAATTTCTTTAGAAAAATGTACAAACATATAATGTTATATAACTGTACATAATATAGTAGGGATTAATGAATATTTTGTAAAAGCCTTTTGCTTTTGTTACACAGTAATGAATACTTGGCAGTAGCAAAGTTGGATATTTAATATTTCGGCTTAATTAAGCGTCGACATTAGTAAATGCTATAATACAAAACATTACTGCGACTCAATACCTACAACTAAGTTGGACATTAAATTTCATAGTCAAGTCTATGGGAAAATTCATAGGCAAAATAATGATAGAAAATTGTTTTTCGTGTTGACTTCAACTGTTTTGTATTAGAATAAAAGGGAGTTTGATTAAAACATTTGAAAGACTTTTTAATCTTAGGACTCGTTCACTCGAAATGGATTTTGGACTATCATTACTTATACTCAAAATGGTTACCTATCAGTAGTCCGAAATTACATTTTCCAGAAATAACTATAGTAATTTTGAGAGGATTTTTTTTTCTTTTAAACCTAACTTGACTTAACCGAACCTAATCGTATCTTGGCGATAAACATCGTGAAAAAATAACGATTTCGTTATAATTCGGTTTTCGGTTTAATGAAAAACGTTATTACGGAAAAAAAATCGAGTTTGTGATAGATTACACACAAAATCGATATTGAGATAAATTTATAAATACGGTAACACCACTACGAAAGCATATACAAGTGCATAATTCATAATTACCTGAAACGGAGTGACGAATTTCTTAGTAACTTCAGACTTGGCCAATAAACAGGACACCCCTAAACTAAGACCAAGACCAGCAACAACCAACAGAGTATAGAATAATCTCGACAAAGTGACATATTGTAAACAAGCAAAGACGGGCAACATCGCTGTAGCAACACCTAATAAAGGCACAAAAAGGAACGTACAGACCAACCCCAAAGTTCCTCTAATAAGTCCGTAAGTAGTACACCCGTGGGAACACATTATAAACATCTGCAACCAGCTCAAAGTAACACAGTGAGGTAGAGTGTACTTAAAGAATCCTTGCCAATTGCTTCTCTTAGCCATAGAGATTAATATCAAAGGAATTAATAGAGAGAAAAAAACACGAGCGTTCAAACAAAATTCAATGCTATTACCAAGTATGTAAGATGGGTAGTTCGATATGTGCAAGTCCAGAAACCTCCAACCTTGATGGACCACTGTGTCTTTCTCGTAGGGATATTTTGCTAGAACATTTATACCGAAGGAAATAAGAGCTAAAATGTCGGGGTAAGGATTTCCATTTGTACCAAACGATAACAACGTTAGAAACATGAGAAAGAATGATAGTACGCAGAATTCGGAAAACGGTACCCATTGTGTAGCTATAAAGGGATATAGGAACAAATTGATGAATAACGCCAAGAAGAACTGCAGGAAGGGTCCTAAATTGTTCCTAACGAACAAATTTTCCGATTCGTCAGGCTGCAAATTCCCATCACTATATCTCAGAAATAAACCGGACCATTTTCGGAAATCTATAAACTGTCTTTTGGCATGCAGCATTTTAAAAGTACATATAACCATGGCTACGAAGCTAACATAGTACAAAGCTAATGGTACCAAATGGTACAGACTTTCTGTGTTTACCGACAGATACGCAACGAGTAATAAAGAGAGTTCTATGTTTGACAATCGAAAAGTGAACGAGCCGAAATAAAATAGCAATTTTAGATACAATACTTGTATGAAGACTGTGGGGTGTAAGAACGCCTGTTGGAGTAAGGGTATATGATCTAATGCTTTGAGATTTGGGTCTGTGAGGGTGAGCTCGTAGGTGACTAGGGGTAGTTCGCCTTGGCAGTAGTCTACGGCGGCTGAGACTAGATTGTCGACGGTTAGATTGCGGATCTCTTCGTCTGGGCCACATCTGTCTGGAGAATCTGAAACAAAAATATCACAAATCCATTTACGGGCCAATTACAGACTCCTATAATAACTAAGTCGGAAAAGGGCGTTCCAAATGAGTAGATAGATGTCCTATCCATTCTTCTAACTTCTATTCCAACTTCTTCAAGGTTAGAAGCATCAAGCTGTGGAGTTCTCTGCTTGAATCGATCAGGCGTGCTAAGTCTGTTGAGTCTTTCAAAACTTTACTCAAAGCTCATTATCTTACACTCGTTATTATTATTTTTTTCTCCTATTCTTACCGGTTTTAGATCTTATATGTTGTTATTATTATGTTTTATATAATCCTACTTTCATTTTGTGTAATCATACGTACTTTTTTGTTATTTGTTTATTTTTATTTATTTAAGTATTTTATTTATTTATTACTATAATTTTGGATATCTGTTTTAGTTTATTTTTATTATTCTTCTCCTTTTTTCATTTGTGTATGTGCAATATGTGCATTAAAGACGTACTCTGTTGCGCCCTCAATTAATTACTATCGCACAGTTTTTCCTGTGACCCGAACGTTGCCTGGAAGAGATTGCTATATACCAATAAGGCCGCCTGTTGTACCTGTCTTTTTATTTTTTTGTATTATTTTGTATTTGTCCCAGTGTGCCCCTCAGATCATTGCGATTTAAAGCTCTGAGTGGCACTGCAACCGTTCATCAGGCGCACGACTTTTCGTGCCGTCACTTGATATCATAAATAAAAAAATAATTTAGGGTAGGATAAGAGCGTGAGTGTCGCTTATTTTGACTAATTTTTATTATAGTTCTTGTTTTTGTATTTGTCTTGTACGCAACAAACATATTAAAACCTGTTTTAAACTGTACAAAGTTTAGGTCAAACCTTCATCCAGCACATGGGAAGGTCGGATGGTGCCGTTGCCGTGGCTGTGGTCGCCATGGTCGCTCGCATCCAATGACGGCGCCAGCGCCTGCCCATCGTTCAAAGCACGTGCTTCCTCTTCTAGCAAGAAAAGAAAATGATTATAGTTAGCAAATATACATTATTCTACTTACTATAACTTAAGGAGGTGTAAGAGGAACACCGTGGAAGAGGGACTAGAAGCCTTAACTCTTAATCTAGTGCTGTAGTCTTTCACTATAAAACAGACAAATAAATTAATTTAAACTGCACGATAAAAACATTACAGTCACTAAACGAAAGATACAACTTTAGCGAGATTATTCGGTCGAATAAAAAATTTAATTTTGTCACAAAATATACTGTGATAAAACTTGAAATGTGTTTGGTAATGGCATTTTTAGCCCAAATAAAAAAAAAATGGAAACTTATTAATACTTAAAAGCCCAAGCCAAAAAATGCTATTAAGATTGTAGTTATGAGTTACTAAACTGCATGATTGGTTGGTATAGCAGTTAGATTGCATGCAGATTGGATGCAGTTGGCGCGACTGCTTCCCATCCACCAGCTGCACGACTGCCTGGGCTGCACGTCAGCTATACTAGCGGCCTTTTTATTATTATGATAGTCGTGCGCCTGTTGATAAGCGACACGCCTGCCCATAGCAGTTGCGTTGCCATTCCGCTCGTCACCTTGAGACATAAATTTGCAAGTCCCATGTGACTGTAATTTCACCACCAACCTTTCAAAACCGGAATGTAGTTAATGCTCACATTACCGCAGAAATAGTTAAGGTGGCATTACTTCTCTGGACGAGCTCTTTCACAAGTCAACTCTTTAAAAAATAGCCGGGAGTAAATAGCAGAGAGTATATTAACAACAATTTTGAAGAAATTTTATTGTTTTGATCGTGCGATATTTATATTATCCCTTGATATTTTATTTGTTTATTAAAACTTTATTGACCACAAGACATGATGGTACAAAAGGCGGACTTAATGCTAAAAGCATTCTCTACCAGTCAACCTTTAAGAAAAACGAAATTCACGAACGCGGCGAATTATTTAATAAATTATATATTACATATTATTATTTAAATTATATTAATAATTATTAAACAAAATATTACATTAATAATAACTTATATGTAATGTATATGTATATATTATATATTTTCACTTTGGTCAAGAGGTAAGCGCTTTGGCATTCAACAGATTCCCTGCCTGCAGACTTGTTCCCGGAACGCTATAACTTGGAGCTTTTCAAGGCGAGAGTGAACAGACATTATTTAGGTGTGCATGCTACATCCTAGACTTCATCGTCACTTTCCATCAGGTAAAACGGAGGTCAAATGCGCACTTATTAAAAAAAAATTAAGAATTAAAAGAAATGATCATACCAGGCGAATCGTCATCGGGCTCATCGCTGTCTTCTGCATCTTTCCTGAGTGTAGTGTTGCAGATCTCGCGGATGCGTCGTTCTAGTTGCGCCGTAGTTATGTACTGCTCACCGTTTGATAAACTGCAATCATGTAAAGACATATAAATATAGTAAGAAGCTCTGTAAGAAGCATCATCTATTACCACTTGAAATGTGTCCAGTTCAATTGACTGTCCGGAATTGCTATCACAAATATCACTATGAGTTCCATCTAAATATTTGTGAAACGACTCTCTTATGGCTCATCAATTTTAGCATTCTGTGTAATTTGTTTGATCTATGATCTTTTCAATACGAGTTTAACAATTCGGCAAGGAGAGCACAGAGGTGACACTTCTTTGACTCATAGTGAGGCTTATAACTGCGGTTGTCTTTTTATGTAATAGGTTCTTTATCTGTATGTGTAAACACTTTATTTTCCAACAAAAACAAACAACAAATTTTTTTAACAAAGAAATAGAACGTTATTGTACACCAGCGAGATTATCGCATAAAGGGCTAGCCTCCAGCTAACCTTTGAATAATTGAAAGGAAAGTAGGCTCCTGAGTCGGCAATAAAATCTAATAAATCATAAAATTGAATGCTACATACTCAATAAATAAATTTATTGTGTCGAATGTACACATAGACACGAATACATAAAATTAAGTTAACGATGATACACTAATACATATAAAATATATAATAAAATGAAATGTTCTTTATTATACTTCTATTTGGGAGAACCTGTAATTAGGTCTCAGTTGTTATTATTATTATTTAATTTGATTTCAAGTTGTTTGTCTTCCTTTTAGATAAATAGATATATAAAAATACATCCACTTACATACATATGAACATTGTTTTCAACATTACGGACTTGAGAAAACACTTGAGAAAATGTACATGTTTCATTTACATGTTACAATTTAGCGCTATCTATTCTATATGATCATTGCCATTGGGTATTGCCAAAACTGAAGGCACACTAGCTTTTTAGCGCCTAAGGTACCTATGCAATTACATTTTAATGTACAGTGGGTGTTAAGAGATTTCCTTTGCAGTTTGCAGGATCTTAAGAGGTTCTTCTCTCTTCTTATTTATTTATTATTATTTTTTTTTTATTTATTCATTTATTTCAGGCAACTAAGGCCCATATAACAAATACCTTACAGACTAACATACATATTATTATTATTGATACATACCTTACAAACTAACATACATATAAAATAATATAAACTTATTAACTATTTACACGAATTACTATTCGGCGACGTGCGACGCAAACAAGTGTCATGTATCGTTCCTCTGAACCGCCGGAACATGACACCCTTCGGCCAAAACTCTACCTGCATGAAGGTCGACAGATGGACCGTTGGGACCCTCACCACAAACGAATTAAAGTTAACGTTGTGGCGAGACTCCAAACGTTCGACCCTCAGGGTGAATTGGGCTTTCAACCGGATATACTCCACTATATCCTCAGACTTCGTGGAGTAATGCAGTCGAGACAGGTACAACTGCGTCGTCGGTATGGCCGCACGAAGCAAGAAGTTCTGTCCCGTTGGAGCTGTGCCACATAGATTTCGGCTGGTGGGTTTCTTTCTTCTCTTCTCCACCTTTGTGAAGCCGTCCTCGTCGCACCTGTCGGTCTGCCTCTGAGATTTGGCACCTGCGATTCCAGAGACAGGCATTCGGGGTTTACTACCGCCCTTTGCAGTTTTCCGCAACTCGGGTTGTGAAGTCGCTGTTCCGCTGCTAATAGTCGCGGCAACAGCGGCGTATGCACACCCGGGCGATGACGTGCATACGGGTGACGTAACCTCCGAGGTGGAGGGGCGGGCAGGGGGGCACGGTGCATTGACAACAGCAATGACCGGCGACATACGAGCCGACTCAATACTGCCGACGGATGCTTTTCGCGCCCCGCGACGCGTGTTGACGTAGGAGACTGTCGGTGACCTACATACCGAAGCGGGGTTGCGTAAAAACGCAACTTCGGCACGTAGCTCACTTATGGAGTTATCCGACGCCTCCAATTTTGACTGAACTTCAGCCAAACTCGACTTCAAGGACGTGATGTCCTTTAACAGCCTGGTGACGTCGACGTGGTCAAAGGTGACCGGAGGCAACTTGTGCAGCTCCTTCGCCACGAAAGTAGGCACGTCGTCCGGATCGGTATTCTTCAAGAATGCAGTAACATCCTGGACACTCTTCAAGCCTCCATCCCTCCGACGAGATGGCATCTGCTGCGCTTTGCCGCAGCTCTGGAACAGCAGCATCTTGCCACTGCAAATCTCATCTTCGTTGAAATTAGATTTGCAGATCTGCTCGATGCTGACTTCATCCATTGTGTCGATGGCATTCTGCACGAATGCCAGAAACTCATTGACAATGAGTTGTTGGGAACCCATTGTCACTTACGTACATGCAGCAGCCTAAGCCGCGCAAAAGCGCGAATTAAAATAATTCTCGCAAAGTAGTGCAGCGCGTCCGTTTCCGATCGCACATTGAACACGAGTTTAAAATTTATGAGCTAGGTTCTTGTCGGTGGAGTATTCGCCAACCATCTTTATTCAGCAATAGTCCCCCGACGCATGGCATTTGCAGAGATAACCCGCGCGTCATCGGACCTACTTACTATGAGCGTTTACCCGCTACTCTTAGACTTGAACCATCTGACGAAACAGTTAGGCGCCGGCCGAAAATACTTTTCTTGAAAAATCCTTTTTACTTTGCAATTGAATTTATGGACCTAAAATGTTATCGATATTGAGTATGTTCTATTTTATTCAAATTTTTACTGCATTGACGTACTTCTGTATAATTGTTATCAACTTATGACGATCCTTGATGGAGAATGATATTTGTTATGTAATTTAATGACAACAATGTTATTTAATGAATCGTTAATTTTCTAATTTTGGTGTATTTTTCTTATAATTTTCATTTTTGTCTGACGATCTCAATATAATTTCTTATACTTTGTATATACTGTAATGTTATATTTGAGAAATAAATGAAGCTGAATCAGCACCCTAACTTTGATTTTCTGATGCGACCATTAATTTTTTTCCCTTATATGATATAAATGACAACAAAATTTCGTAGCAGTTGACCTCCTTATGAAAGAGTTCATCCAGGGAAGTACTGACACCTTACCTAATTCTACTGCGAAGCAGTAATGAGCATTACTGAATTTTGTAGGGGAAGGGTGCTGTGGAAATTACAGTCACATGACAAATCCCAACTTATGTCTCAGGGTGACGGGCGCAGCGGCAGTGTCCCTTTGTGTTTTAAAGCCCTGTGTGTGGCACTGCAATTGTTATGGACAGGCGTGTCGCTTACCACCAGATGCACGACTTGTTCGTTCCGTCATTTGGTATCATAAAAAAAAAACTTCGTCCCAGTCGTTCTTTGCCTCTCTTTCCTTCAATCTTCCCTTGTACGATGTTTCGAAGAAAACTGCCGTGACATATCAGCTGCCCAAACATATTTCCACTTCGGTTATCAGTACGTCTCTTTAATAAGCTTCTCTTTTATTGCCCTATTCAGTCTTAGAAGGTGTGTTACCTGGCAAAGAGGTCCCTCGCAGCCTTCCTGGCAACGGTCTCCTGACGGCTAGCAGCGAGGCACGACTTGGCGCGCACGATCGCCGCGCTATGTTCGTCTATCACGCCACTTCGGATGCACCTGGTAAAAAACAATATACAACTAAATACCAAATGGATACAATAATCTTCTGGGTCCTGGAAATACCAACACCCTGGAAAGTGAAATTATATCGTCACGCAATACGCGGAGATGATAAATATGTGTGATAAAATGACACATTATGGAAGATCATGACCAGTGGACTATCATTGTAAATATCATCAAAGAGTGAGAGGTATATACCCTCAAAATAGCAACTTATGACTTTACACGGCGTGTAAATAGGTCATTAAATTGGATGTATATTCTATACAACATACGTGTCATGTGAGTCCGCTACTACCTTTAATAGAAGTAATCACAACTAAATGTGTGATGTTCTGTCGTCATTGGAGCCTGAACATGTACGTTCAGGCTACAATGACGTCATTATATTATCACTTTCTTTTTTTTTCGTACGAACTTATAGCTGGGAAATATCTTACACAGATCTCCGTAACTCATCGTGCACTTTGTCCCACTTCTTCTTCCAGTCCTCGAAATCCTGATCCTTTAGTGTCATCGTATTGGATACCAGGCAAGAATCTCTAATACGTCTACATAGAAAGATCTTAACACAAAAGTCGGTACATGAAAGGTATCATGCAAAGAAGCTTCTTTTTGTTTGATATAGCGAACTTATACAGGGTTTTTCAACAAAAACGAACACAGCCACCGAAACAATGAATTTATTGCAAACCAAATTTCCCGATCGCATAATTTCACGAAATTCCGCCGTTAAGTGGCCAGCTCGATCATGTGATTTAACACCGCTGGATTATTTTTTATGGATGTTATGCTAAAAACAGTCTATACGGAGCCTACTCAAAATTATGCAATAATTATATTATACATATAATTAACGAAATAGACCCACCATTTTGTCAAAAAATGATTAAAAACTTTGATGAAAGAGTAACTGTGGTCGTGGTGGACATTTATCAGACATCATTTTTCATTAATAATTGCCAAACCTTACTTTTGTTTAATACAATAAAAATTTGAATCATTGTCATCTAAATTTATGGTATTATTTTGATTTACAAAACAAAGTTCTTGTTGAACAACCCTTTATTATCACCCGATCATATTATATGTGTACATTTCTCTTTTTGACCGACTTCAAAAAGGAGGTTCAAAATTCGACTGCACTTTTTTGTATGTATTTTACGCGATTACTCCGACATTTGTGAACCGATTTCAATGATTCTTCTTTTGTTGCAGAGGACCTACCTCAGTAGTGGTCCCATTTAAATTTGAAGAAAATATTCTATCTCTAAGGGTGGCAAATTCGAGGATATTTTTTTCTTTCCGATAACCGATTTCGATAAAACTTGGCAAATGAATGTTATTCCACAAACTTTTGAGGTCGATTTTTATTTATAATTAAATTTAATTTGGATTATATTTATAACGTCCTTAAAGGAGTAGGTGCCTGGTCACATGAGCTGCATCCTCATTATATTACAACTGCAATAATTGCTGTCAAAATGCAGTCTAAAATCATTTGGGGAACAGTCGCTCTGCGATTGCATTGCCACCAACTGCGAGTATAGCTGGCGTCTTAACTAGGCAATTGTGCAGTTGGTAAACGCGATGCTGTTGCGCCAACTGCACCCAAATTGTATTCGAACTCCTTCCAATCTTGCAGATTTAGGGTCGTATTCTAGAACTCTACTCAATGCTCAAGTCAGGATTGCAATGGAAACACAAGCACTGGAAATACGACCCTAATGGCAGGTACTTGAGTATGATTTCGAGTGCTTTAAACCATACTCAAATCCTGACTTGAGCATTGAGTAGAGTTCTAGAATACGCCCCTCAGACTTAGATTCATTACACAGATTAATTTGAATGTTAATAAATTTCTTTATTTTCTTTATTTTTGGGTTAAAAATCTAGCTATCTTTTACACGAAATGTGTGTAAATCTTTTATCTTTTAATTTATTTATTATCGTAATTAAATTTATTAAAGATTTATCACAAATTTATATTTTCATTCGCCTAAATAAACTGCAGCCAAAGTTTACGATCATATAATATATGCTCGCTATGTTCATGACCCCTTTGGCAAGAAAACAGAGGATATATTCTAAGTAATAATTTTCGGATTATAGAAACCACTATTATTGCTTATTCAAAAACATTTCATTTCACAGGGGCTTTACTGTGTTTTCATTTTTAACCGACTTCAAAAAGAGATTCTCATTTCGACTATATTTTTTGTGTGGACGTAAAGCGCTCTACACACCGCATCCGCCGACACTAGCCTTAGCGCCCAGTTAAACGAGCAACATTTAAATTTCTTTGAATAATACAACCGCCTGGCCGCCGCGCGATTCTCCGCGTAGACGAAATTCAAGCCACTCGCGTGCCCGGGACGCTCATTTAAGTTAAAACGTAAAAGCTAAACAAATAGAGCGTATTTTGCCTTGACAGTTAGACTCAACTCACAATGGCTCAGAGTCGAAGCGTCGCGACGCGTCATGTTTTTCGCCTATATCTATTTTCCCATTATTAAGGTACAAGTTTGTGTTATACAAATATGGAGTCGCGTCGACATTTGGTTGCAGTCGAGCAGCTTCGCGCGTTGACGCGTGTCGTCGCGCGTTACTTGAGCGCAGTGAGGCGTCAGGCGCCTGTGATCAGGGAGCACTAATGCGAGCAACGTCGCGTGTCGACGCGCATCGCTAGGCGTTATAGTTGAAAAACGTGTCGAGTAAATACGCCCCTATTCTTATACGATTCTTAGAAATCCTTACACCATTCTTAGAAATTTGACCGCCGACACCAAGCCGGGCTGTGTCGCCGGGTCGGCGGGTGCGATGTGTAGAGCGCTTTACGAGATGACTCCGACATGTGAGAACCGATTTGGATGATTATTTTTTTGTTGGAAACGGGGTAGCTCAGTGTTGGTCCTAATAATAATTTGAAGAAAATATTCCACCTCTAAGGGTGGTAAATTCGGGGATGAATCCGGTTTATTGAATTTCGCCTACTTTCCGTTAACCAATTTCCATTAAACTTGGTAAATAGATGTAATTCCACAAACTCTTGAGATCGGTTTTTTTTTATAAAAAACTTATAATTATTTTATAAAAAACTACAAATTTAAAATATTGATTCACTTGTTCTAATTACAAAATTTGGTAAGCTAGAAATTCGGCAAATTTAAAACCCGCACTATTACAACTGTTTGTCTTGCAATAAAGACAATGAAAATTTTCTCAGCACGTTCAAACCTGGTTTGTTGTTTACACTCATATGGAATGCCAACAATTACGATTATCATCCATTACCTCAGAAGACAGAGATTTAAGAATTCATGCTGTTTGTAGTGTCCTACAGTAACAATTACTATTGTCTGAGAAATTTGTGCTTTTTTTTTAATTTTACTAAACGAATATCAATAAACAATAATTTTGTTACTTGTATTATCTTCATGGGTATGAACTAATAACGTATGCTGATACTGATTTCTGATATAATTAAGTTTTACCAATGAAAAAGGTTTGATGGATTTAAAAGGTTTTTCATACATATTTGGTTCTTAAAATGCATTTATTCAAACGTATCTTTGAAACTGATCTTTTTGATGCTCTTAAAGTGATCGATCACACAGAAAATCGGTTAGTCGACATTAAAAAACACGAACTCATAATGAAAACAGAAGATACCGGGCCCGAAACACGAACTTCTCTCGATAAAAACAAATCATTAAGTTCTGAAACATTGTAATTTTTTTACTACGTTCATCTACGGAAATATCAGTTTCATTCGATTGTTATTAGCAATGGTCGGAAAAAAGTGTTCCACATATACAGATACATGTATAAATATAGTTACAAGGAGCAGATACATGTATAAATATACTTACAAAGAGCGACATATTATAGTTGTTAAAACCACCAAATATTAAGTAATTATTTTTTAAATTCCAGATTTTCAGAAATAGTTTTACTGCATTGTAAGACAAAAAGTTGGATTTTAAACTAATTTAATGGTGTCGTGTAAAAAAAATGCAGTAGATAATCTGATCTGAAATAAAACTCCTCTTCGCTCCACTTTGAAGATAAATGTTGGAGCCCACTTTTCAGCAAGCATCACATCACACTAAACGCCTGTTTCATAATCATTAGAGTATTTTCGTACAGTCGATGCCTTAACTTTTTTATGACTTCTTTTGGTATGATTTCCTTATTGCGTCATTATGCACTATTCATGGAAGAATACATTTTATTTATTATATATATATATATATACTATTGCTCCATTAGATACAGAAAAATATAACCCACATCCTCTCTAATTCTTGTAAATTAGTCGACAGAGTTCAAAAATTGGAGAGGATTGTAGGTTATATTTTTGAAGTAACTTCACTTATGGCATTCTTCCATGAGGGGTGCGATTTGTGAACGTTTTAAGAAACTTTTTACTTACATACAAACAAATAAAAAGCTGGAATTCCTATTACATTTTTCATTGAATGCTTAAGAAGGCTCTTTGAACAAAAAGGTCGGCCAGAGGGTAAGGCATCTTAGAGCATCGACTGTACATTGAAGCATTAAGCATGCTAACGAATCACCACAAAAACACGTGCGTAGCACGTACCTATAGTCGCCCCGTGCTGGAGAACGCTACTCAATTTGGTCCTACTCTAATTTTGGTATCTAAAATTACGTAATTCTTATTAGTTGTTTGAACACATCTATCTTTGCTTCAGTATAGTGAACTTGCTTAACTTTTTTAGGAAAATCGTACTTATTAATACTGTGATAAGAAGTACAATGTAAATAGTATTTACCTAGTTATTAGCATAATGTGGAAATCCGATAGTGCATTCCAAATTGGATTGAACTCCAATCAATTTACAAAATAAATACAAAATTGATTCTTAAAATATTCACGGTTTATCGAAATAAATTTTTACCTACATGTCACCAAATACTTACGTTTGATATGTGACAAGTTTAACGTCAATAAGAATCTTAATAGGTATGTTAAACATAAATACGTACACGTGTTTGTGGCCAGTTTCAAATTGTACAAGTTTTTTGTATGGAGTAAAAGATTGTGTATTCAGCATAAAAGTCTTTTATGTAGGTCAATACCTATATAAAAGGTTCAGCCAAATACAGGGTTATTTGTAAAATACTACCTCACAGGACTACAGAAGTACTCATTAATAACATCCAATAACTTTCGTTTCATAACTTGTTAAAAAGCATTATAAATGTATCATAAATAAACTTTTAAGTTTTTATTCTACTGTCTGACACTTTTTGGGTCGAAACACAAAACTGCGATGCAACGTCGCATTCTTGTTTGTGTTTTATTCCTATACTTTCTTATAATAACAGCAGTGCAATACTCTTTTTGCAACCCATGTTGCTACCTTTTGCCGCACGAAATCGCAGTTTTCTGAGTTGCGAATTCGCATCCCGCTAATTCGCAGTTTTGTGTTTCGACCCTTAGATCTGTATTTGACAACAAAGGTTGTAGTAAGTTCAAATGTGCAAATAACCTCTCCGACGATTCTCAACAATCGTAACTAGAGGTGGGCGTTTAAACGAAAAGCACTTAAAAAAGATTTGCTTTTTAAAATAAGCATATAAACACGCTTTTTATTTTAAGCGTAAGCGTTGAACAATTCTATACTCAACAATTTCATTTTTTACAACGTGCATAAGTTTAAAGTCCCGCCATTTATATTTCCTAAACAAATTAATTCATCAATGTGAATAATAATTTTATAAATAAAACTCGTGTTTTACAAATAAACTACTTAACTTAAAACCTATGTGTTCTACTGTTGTCTACTCCTACACTACTACAGTGGTCTACTCTTGCTTTTCGCTATCAACACAACGTTGCAAACTTTTTTTAACATAAAAGTCTATGCGCTTAAACTTTTTTTTAAACGATTTTTTAAGCTTCAAAGTAAAAAGCCTGACGCATCAGCTTAGAGGATGGAAAATAAAGGAAAGCGCATCAGACATAGAACAGAATAGGATAGAATAATTTATTTCAAAATATCAATGTCACAATACTACAATTCATAATCTCAGTACAGAGTACTAAAAAAATCGATCTCAAATGTACGTGGAATTACTTATAATTACCAAGTTTTATTGAAATCGGTTACCAGAAAGTGCGCAAACCCGGATTCATCCCCTAGTTCGCCACTATGCGGGACTTGACACAGGAGTTAATAAAAATCGGTTCTCACTACCCAAAGTATATTGAGAGAGAAAAACGCCTTGAATTAAAGAATAGCAAAATCAACCATTAAAATAATTGCTCATAATACTAAAATTTAGGCGCTATTTATAAAAATGAATCTTCATGCGTGAACGTTCTTCAAAATAAAATGGGAAAACTATGGAGGTACCCCTCTTTCCAGCAAAAAAATCACAAATACCGGAGTTATCTCGTAACATACATACAAAAAAAACATACAGTCGAATTGAGAGCCTCCTCCTTTTTTTGAAGACTGTTAAAAATCGAAAACAACGACGGTGCCACAAACGTCCAGATCAGAGACAATGTAGAAAACATTGTTTTTTACATTGACCCGGCCGGCGATCGAACCCAGGACCACAGAGATGGCGACAACATGAAAACCTGTGTGCAAGCCACTCGATCACAGAGGTCGTCGTATTTTATTACCAGTTTTTGCAGAAGAGAACTAATAATAAATAATTAAACAATATAAATAATAATAATAAATACTAGAATAAAGTGAGTACATTTTTAGTGCTAAATAGTGAGCTAAAATGAGTTAGAAAGAAAACCAGTACGGTAAGAAGGAATTAAAAGAGTTAATTTGTGTCTGAGCGAAGATTGCGATTATGGGATGCACCCAAATATTGAAATTTCCATTTCAAATATCCAGGTGCACATTTATCATTAATGATAGAGTAAAGAGTGGAAAGTATTCTCAAATCAAGACGTAGGCGAATCGTTAGCCACTTCAGCTCATTGCGACATGCGGACACGTGATCAAATTTTCGAAGTCCATAAATAAAACGAATACAAGTATTGAGCAAGCGATTCAATTTGTTGAGAAGTTCCTGGGTGATATCAGCGTAATCAAGAATAGGAAAAATAGTGGCCTGTACTAAGAGGATTTTTGTCGAGACGGGAAGAAAGTGTTTAAATTGGTAGAACGATCTTAAGGTACCAATGATTTTCTGACTAATGCAGTCAATCTGGGGTTTCCAGCTTAAAGTACTATCAATGTGTAGTCCCAGATTCACAACATGCGGTGCGAATACAATAGGTGTACCATTATAAAAAAGAGGCGCGACAGAGCTCATGTACAACCTAGTCAAAGCATGAGAATTAACCCACGACAATACCTTGGCACTTACTTGGGGTGACACTGATGCCAAACTTAGTCGACCAATCGACTTACTTTACTTACAACTTACGCGATACGCCTCAGATCATCTGCATACAGATGGTGAGAATTGTGGAAGATAGGAGAAATTAAATTGATGAAAACGGAGAACAATAGAGGAGAAAGAATTCAACCTTGGGGGACACCTGCCTAAAGGTCTGAGCAATTAGACATGGAGTCCTTGGCACGAACCGCTTGCTTACGCCCTCAAAGATATGAAGAAAACCAGTCCAGTTCCGTAGGAGAGCTTCGCAGATAAGCAAGGAGGATATCATGGTCAACAGCATTGAATGCGTTGCGGAGAAAAATTAATGAGGACTAATACCGTTAACCGTGAATCCTCCATGCCCTCCCGAATGTCCTCTGTAACTTTCAGTAACGCTGTCGTGGTACTGCGACCAGGCCGAAAACCAGACTGGTACTGGTCGCGAATATTGTTTCTAAAAAGGAAAGATGACAGTTGGCGATGAACAATCGCTTCAAGAATTTTTTAAAGGAAGGGTAGTATAGTAATTGGCCGAAAGTGTTTAAGGGTTGTGGGGTTATTAATCTTAGAAAGAAGCAACACGTGCGCCCTGCGCCAGTTGTTAGGTAACGTACCAGATGAGACGAATGAGTTGATAATGTGAGTAATAATAGGCAGAGCACTATCTAAACAAAAGACTATCATTTGTGGACTAATGTCATCACATCCAACAGCTTTAGACTTTAAAGACATTATTGTTTTGCGAATATCGGATTCCGACACCAAAGAAAAGATAAAACTTTCAGATGGTTGTTGGCACAAGGAAGGAACATCTTTGAGAGCATCAGCTTTGCCTGCCCATTGAGTGCTGACATTAGCCGAGAAATGCTGATTTACATCATCAAGAGTAAAAGGATGAGGCAAAGCATAATTTGTTTTTAGGTTCAATTCAAGAGTTAATCATGTTCTGAATGAAATGAACTGATGTACACACGCCAGCATATCAAGCTACACATTGACGTATCTTATTCCGTGGCACTGGAGGCGATTTTCGAACAAAAATGTGTAGTGTGATGTGCCATTGTCCGTACAATAATAACCGTCATGTCCTTTCAATAGTGGACGATGGCATAATGTCGAAAGCTTAGAGCATACAGTGTGTATTGAATAAATGCTTACCTCCTCAACATTGTTCTAGCTTCTGGGTGCGCCTGTTCAGTAGCACATATCAACCACTCTAAAGCTTGTTTGAAATTTGAGATCTTGTCAGCTTCCAATTCTGTTAAAACACACAATTATATATATACCCGCCTGCTGGCAAATAAAAAAATAATAAACAAATTCATCACCAAATTCAAATTGACCAATCGGAGAACAATATTCAGTAAATAAAAATTCTGTTGCATTTGTAGTTGCCAGTATTTGTTCTATTTCATAAAAAAAGAAAGTATAAGACAATAAATTATAGATTATAGAAAATATTACAAAATTATGAAATTGGGAGTAAGTGAACCTAATACTCATAGAAATCCAGTGATTCTGTAGAACTGGTACCTATTCTTTTGGTTCTCCTAAAGAACATTGAGTAAACTTCCTCTAATCAGACAGAGGAATCAAGTACAGAAAATAGTAATCTCTAATTGGACATTTGAAACATGGTAAGATAATATCACGCATTGTATGTTTGGGCTCATTGTCTGCCAAAGCAAGGTGGGGAGCATTTTTGGTTTGAAAAGATATGTATAATAAAATGTTACATTTTTTGAAACTGACTAATTATGCATACCACACTTTTCTTCCAAGAGCTGTTTAGCTAATACAACTTGTGATTCTGCACAACCGTCTTCTGCAAGCTGATTGCGTAGTCTCCGAAGGGAACCTTGCGGACCATCTGGGAAAAGGATGTCGTACAGACAAGGTTGGCTGTGATGAGTCATATTTGTCAATACATAGGAAAATCTGCCTTGAATTTGAAAGATACGGGATGTTTTTGTAGTTCTGCAATTAGCGAATGTTAGTACAAAGTTCATCAAAAACATTTTATTAAATCAATGCATTTTCAAAATTTGTAGATACCGTATTTCTAGGGCTGTTTTTAGTGTATTGTGGCAATTTGATATGGTATGTGTTGAATATACTAAAATAGTCTGTTTTAAGAATTTAGAATTGAAAATGGAAGTCAAAAATAATATCTTAAATTTTTTGCTTTGCAGTGAGCATTTAAGCTAAAATTAGTGCATTCCAAAAATTGTATGACAATAAAATATTCCATTGGATATTATACCACATGATACTAAACCTTCACTTTATTTATGACTTGAACATTAACAACTAATTTAAAGCAATTTTGAGTTTATACATAATTTATGTATTGTTAGCTAGTTGTAAAATTACATAAAGGCCTAACTTACCCTTAACTTTAACAGGAAGCATTAAAATGAAGAAAAAATTGGTTCAATCTATTGCAAAGAATACAAACTTACGTTATTACATAATTAATTAGAGGATACTCTATGCCATAAATTATTTTATAAAACTGTATAGTTATTAACATAGGCAGACTATGTTAACTCCCTTGCAATTTAATATAGTGATCAAAGTAAATTTATATTAGATAGTTAGTCTTCAAAATCGCAATGTTTAAAATGTTTTCGTCATTCTCAATTTTACCTGTCTATATAAATATCAATATTCGTTTACGTGCAAGTGGTGCATAATGATAGGGATTAAGCACAAGGTCAAGAAACAAAAAGTCGCATGGAACACAACACGTGTTTGTTGACTGAGGTACAATGCACAACGAAATAAGAAAAAATAGTAACTAAACTTTATAATATAACCATTTATTAATAAAAATCTCATGAATATTTAGCAATTTCTCTTATTATGTTAGGTACTTACCATGTATATTCCAGCGTTTTCGACCACCAGGCATGGTCCACTTTAGCTATGTAATTACTTAGAAAAACGCAATAAATAAGATTAACCTATCATTAAAATTATTGAACATCAACAAAATTTGTTTCCTTTCGCGAATTTTCAACCTCTAATAGTCTGTGATCCCGACCCGATGACGGAGGAATGTCAATCAGTCAAATAATGTTTTTGACGTAGTAGTACATTATATTGCAAACTTTTGCATTTGCAAAACGCAGTTATTTGTTTAGACCGATCTATTGCAAGATTTTTTATTAGATAGCGGTTTTGTACCAGTTTCAATTAAAATAATATTCAACTAAATCCTCATTCTCGTACAAAGATCACAAAGTGAAAGTAAAACGCCTACATTGAATTTACCCGGTTGCCGGCCCACGCAGTCTTCTATCTATGACAACAATAATGTTTGTGGAAACAAGTAAGTTATTTTTAAACAGGAAGCTCCTGACTATTTTCAACATTTCTTTCAAGTTCTTGGCATGGGGGTAATTTATCTTTTAATAGTTTTTACTACGCTAAGAGCAGAGACACGTATTCAAATGCAGCTACAAAACTCAAAACGTAGTATTATTATTTATTTGTTGAGCATTGGGTGGCTATAGCCATCAACTTAAACAAGCAGCAACGGATTAAGAAACATAAAAAACGTATTAATACTTAAAAAAATAATTATTATTAAAAATTAATTTGTGAGAAAACTAACTCGGAAAACTTTATTTGTAAGTCAAAACACATTTTTTTCTCCTCAGAAGGTAGAAAAATATGCATTTTGTTTTCTAGTATTTTGATTCGCTCTGGACCTTTTGGAGGGAAAAGTGTCGTTTTTATTTTGACTTTAAATTATTTTGTGAAATCTAGTTTAAAGTGGAATAGGATAGTGCTATTGTGCCTTAATCGAAGATTAAAATGCGAAATTATACGAATCTCGAACTAAAATACCCGTATCGGCCCGTTCTAAGGAATCCCGAGTCAATCCAACTGCTACTTTTTTTCAGTGCATATTGAACTGGTTATCTGCAAAAAAGCGCAATTAGTGACACCTCGTTTTTTTTGAAATCAGAAGACTACGTTAAATGTAAAAAAGAATCAATGTGTATAGCGTTTATTTTGTACCATTAATGAAATGCATTAAAAATTAAAAGAAATAAGCGCAGTAGACCCAGTGTAAAGAATCGATCATTATGTTTCGTCCCGTATTTCAAGTCATTTTCTGAATAATTTGTGTTATGGAAGTCTTGATTTGTGTTATGTAACGTGTCAGCTATAGTCATATATTAAAAATGCTGACTCCGCGATTCAAATTGAGTCAAGATGAGAACCATGTCTGCATCACTGTACATGCACCATACACCAATGTTGGTGAGACCGAAATCGATATAGATGGTGAAAATTTTCTTTTTGTGTCTAGTCCATATTTCCTGCGGCTGCGCCTCCCTGGAAGAATAGTCGAGAATGACAAGTCTAAAGGGTCCTATACGTGTGATACCGGTGACTTTAACTTAACCTTTGACAAAGAGATTCCTGGAGAACATTTCCATAATTTGGATATGATAACCAGTCTTTTAGCACCGCGGGACATTCCTGATGTTAATCCAAATTTAGTAGAAATGTTAGAAGAGGATGGCATTACTGTAGGTGATGATGGCAAGGACGGTGATAATGACGAAAGCTGCAACAAATTTTCTTATGGCTTTGCAAATAAAATCTCCAATGAGTTTCAGGACATTGGCAGTGAGTTCCCACAGATCTTTGAACTCAGAGTCCCAGAGAAGGTTGCAGTAAATGAAAGAAATAAATTACGAATTGAGCATGAAGATCATAAATTTTCAACAGATCATTATTTAGCTGATTTTTACGACGACGAGCTCATATCTCCTTATTTAACATCTAAGCCTAACTGGGACAGCCCAGATTTTAACAAGGATGTTGACTTCACTGATGAGGAAGTCTGTTTGTTAAAAGAATTGCCAAATAAACATTATATTCTAAGTAAAAGTGAACACACACAAGTATTGCTTGGTCTTGTTGACATTTTGTATGGTTATTGTTATGATAAAAGAACAACATTGAATGAGAGTACGGTTGAATCCAGCTGGACAATAAACAAACTGTCGTCAACACTTAGTTGGTTCTGCGTTTTTAAAGATGTGAAACAAACGCTTCTAGCTTGTTACCGAAGAGCTTTAATATATCCAATATTTAGAAATTTTGAACTTTGCAATAAAGTGAAGGAAGATCTAGTCTCTTTGTTCCGGAAAGGGAAGAAATTTGTAATCAAATGCGTTATTGACATTCACCAAATGTTTAATACTAGTAATGACGCCCGTTACATCTTAAATCAATTATACATAAAAGATTATTTAGTATTTCTACAAAAATGCAGGAGTGAGGAATTGGACCAATTGTATAATAATATTGCAAATATGGAAATTACAAAGAGAGATTTAGATTTAGAGTTGGACGAATTAGAAGCAGCTGCTGAGATGGTCCAGCAAGAGGAAGCAGAAATAATGGAGAACGAAATGGCTGTAAAAATGGCCTCTATGTCATTACTCCCAGGGTTAAGAAAACCAAATGGCCCATATTTTGATGAGAGTGATGATGAAAGTGATTCAACAGATTCAAGCAGTGATTCGTCTGATGATTCCTCGGATTTGGATTCTGATGATGATCCATCCTGACAGCATGAGGATATTTCCTAGTTAAGTGGGCAAGGCTTGTGAATTGCAAAACTGATTTAATGTGAATTTACTTGGAAGTGCTCACAGCCTTGCCGAGTCTTTTCAGTGTTTGATCGTGATATTAAACGTTGATCAGAACTACATTATTAATAAGAATGTAATGCTGTTGTGAATTATAAGGCTAGTTCAATAAAAATACAGGTATACTGCTGCACTTGCTTCAACATGTATGATGTAATGTAGTGTAGAGTTTGACAAGGAGGTTTGTACATTCACTGTGTTGCAAAATTGTAAATACATTTTTTTTGTAATCTTTTTTACTGACTGTTGACTTATTTGATATAACATCTACATTGGTGCCATTATTTTGGGCCCTTAATGTAACTTATCGCTAATGTTACATTTGTGAGGTACCTTTACCACAAATTTCAGTGTTGCAACCATGTAAAATAAGTATATAGCAAGTTGTACAGCATTTAGAGGTTATTATTATTATGATTATTAACATGGTACCTTGTTTACTATTTGTACAGCGGCATGTGAACAGATTGCACAACAGAATACATGTGTGCAGCTTGCAAGCTTTTCACAAACAGGTGCATTTGCCAGATCTGTGTACAAGCTAATGGATAATTAATTCAGTGTGAGTTTATGGGTAATTTTAATAACCAGTCTTAATATCTACATAGGGCGCACTGTGAGTTTCCGGAACTGGCCACTTACACAAACAATATTTAAAAAGTAATTACAACATTTGAAATTGGAACTTTGGCTGTAGAATACAGTTTGTTCCATCTGACTGTCACTTGTTTTTACATTGCGGCGTCATTTTAGAAATCGGTTGTCTACATCACCATGGATTTACCTCGTGAAAATTTTCGTAGTATGTTTTGCTATGACTTTAAGTGTAATTTAACAGCTCAGCGGAGTACGAATTTCGTGATGGTCGCCCGTCCACTGCTGTGAACAACAAAAACATCGATGCTGTCCGCCGTATGATCAAAACAGACAGGCATGTGATATACCATGAGATTCGGGCATTTTTAGGCATAGGCATGAGTCAAATACAATCAATACTACACAAACATTTGGGTGTGAAAAAGCTGTGCTCTCGGTGGATCCCACGAAATTTGACTTTGGCTCAAAAAACGGATCGTGTCACTTGGTGCAATGTCATGCGTACCAGATTCAACGAAGGGGTGTCAAATTTGGTGTGGGACATAGTAACTGGTGACGAAACATGGATTTATATTTACGATCCCAAAACAGCAGCAATCGAGCGTATGGGTCTTTCGAGATGAGCCGAAACCAACCAAAGTGGCGCGCGTACAAAGTGCCTCTTAGCGGATGATTGCTTCTTTTTTTAATAAAACTGGACACGTGGCTACTATTGCTTTGGAGAATCGTTGTATCGTGAATAGTGATTAGTACATGACCATTTGTTTGCCGGAAGTTATTGACAAACTCCGTAAAAATAACTGTAAACGCCGTTCGTATCATCTTGCACCACGATAATGCCAGTTCTCACACGGTCAGACAGACAAATGAATTTTTGAAGGTACTGTTCCGACCTGCACCTTGTGACTTTTATTTATTTCCAAAAATTACTGGTTCTTAATTTCTTACGCGGTCATATGAGTCGAAGAGAGAAAAATATGTTTCAGAGATTGTCACGCAGGAGTGGCATAAATGTTTTCAAAATTGGTTCATTCGCATGGAAAAGAGCATTAACGCTAATGGAGAATATTTTGAGAAACAATAAATTTATTTCTGACCATTTAAAGCATTTTTTTCTTATTAATTTCGGAAACTTATATTGCGCCGCACGTATGAAACATGTACATACATCATATTATTCTCTACTCATTAATTGGTGTATTTGGATATAGAATATCATGTTTTAATAAAGTTGTCATATCAAATCAAACTACGAGTGTACTTTATTGCACTTATTTATTGAATAAGTTTATCTATAATAAGTAATATTTGTTATAATGTGTGGTATTGCAGTTTTTTGTTCTTATCTGCATGTCCCTACATCTACACGCTCGAGGACCTGCACAACGCCACTGATGATGCTGTCTCAGTCGCTAAGTACTGGTTCTCACAAATATAAACGTCAGAGTCGACACGCCAAGAAGTGCCGCGGGATAACTGTTGCTTCCCAAATGAGCGGTCAATGGTTCGAATCCCTGTGGCAGTTATATACCTATGACTATGAGTTACGTACATTTGTAAGTGTTTTGTAATTGCGATATCTGTAACAGTGAAGGAAAGTATAATGATGAAACCGGCTGTCGAAGAAGGTTAACAACCATGTTATGTCCCCAACCCGTACCGGGCCAGGGTGGCGGAATAAGTATAATCTAGGCTTGAGTAGTTCATCAACTAAGAAAAGAACTATGACACTGACCGAAACGAACTAGTTCCTTATGCACGGTCTTTTTAGTTCAGTCGGAATGGGACCCTTATTGCGGAGCCACAGATGCGAGGAGATCTTATTAGTTCACCTGTCTTTTTAGTTCTTTCGGTTCACAGACGCGAGGCGAGATGAAGCGAATGGACTATCAAGGCCTTTAGTACAAGTTCGAGTGAGATGCACGACTGAACCTTTGCCAGCTCGTGTCATCGAAATACGAAGGGAGGTCCAAAAGTCCGCGGAATGGAGGGGGCGGGAGCCCGCTAATTACGCTTGCTTGATGTGGTACTAATCAGATACTCATTAGGGGTATATATATCAAGCTTCACCCTTTTAACTTCATTAGTTTACGAGATATCGCCCTACAAACAACTAAATCCGGAAGAAAACTGCAAATATGGAGCAAATCGAGTTTCGTGCTGTCATCAAATTCCTTACCAAGCAAGGAAAACCTCCTCAAACTATTATGAATGAGATGGAAACTGTTTATGGGGATCAGTGCCCTGGTAAAACAATGATTTACAAGTGGCACGGTCTTTTCAAACATGGCAGAGAATCAATTGAAGGCGATCCTCGCCCAGGACGGCCAGTTGAGGCCACCACATCAGACAATGTTGAAAAAATCGAAAAATTTATATTGGAAGATGCCCGTCTGAAGAAGAAACAGCTGTCTGCATTAGTAGGAGTATCAGATACTACCATTTTGAGGATCCTACACGATCATCTTGGCATGACGAAAGTCAGTGCAAGATGGGTGCCGAGAATGCTCACGCCGCCTCAAAAGCAACAAAGAATCGATGCATCAAAGCACTTCTTGGAGCTGTGTGGCGCAGAACCTACCCCAGTTTTGTATGGCATAAAAAGGGTACACCACCCCCTAAGAAGTTTAAGGTGTCGGAATCGGCTGGAAAAATCATGGCTACGGTTTTTTGAGATTGTGAAAGAATTTTATTGGTTGACTACAAAGAAAAGGGGGTCAATATAACGGGAGAATATTGCGCAAGAATATTAGAGAGACTGAAGGAAGCTGTCAAAGAAAAAAGGCGGGGAAAATGGACAAAGGGTGTGTTGCTTTTGCAAGACAACGACGCACCGGTTCACAAGAGCAATGTTGCGATGGCTGCTCTACACAAGTGTGGCTTTCAATCGCTGACCCACCCACCTTACAGCCCGGACCTAGCCCCCAGCGATTAATATTTATTCCCAAATTTAAAAAAAGAATTACGTGGGAAAAAATTTCGCGGCGATGAAGAGGTTAAGGCAGCAATTTTAGCTCATTTTGAGAGCACAGAGAAAAAATATTTTTTCGATGGCATAGAAAAGCTAATTTCGAGATCTAAAAAATGTATTGAGCTCAAAGGTAATTATATTGAAAAGGAAAAATAGCCTTATTGTTTTATATTATTTACAACCCCTCCATTCCGCGGACTTTTGGACGTCCCCTCGTACTAATAAAATAGTAAAGAGGGAAAACAATAAAACATTCCTATTTAAATGTACAAATCGTTCGTACGGATAATTTTATTCCGTATCCATCAAAGGCCGAAACGGTTCCTATTCCCAGATCCCACTTGAACTAAAAGACAGAATTAGTTTATTTATCCGAACGAACTAATTGGGATCGTTCCCTCTAAAGACCGAGCAGGCACAAGCCAATAGTATAATTTGTCTTTTTTGAAAACGAAATAAAATGACAGTTCATTGCGCAAAAGTGTTGCCCGCTTGCGAGCAGCTAGTGATTGCAGTCGGTAAATATTCTATTGATTATCGACTAAATATTGTTCACGCTTATGGAATAAATTGCCGAACGTGTTTCATTTGAATCATCTTCAACCCATTATTCATCCAATGACTGAGCATAAGTTCATTTGAATTGTCAATTTTTGTAAGCTCATACATACATACACAGTATTCAGAACTGTTTATGAAAAATACAAAGAGGAGACATATTTTAAAGTTTTTCATTTTAATTCATTAATCAAATTCTGCTAGTCTTGTTAAAATATATGTGAATAAAAATTGATACTAGTAGGCCAACTGTCTAAATAAAAAAGAAGGCAATAACGTAATTAGTAATCATCGTAACGTTCACAATTTAGTTATTTTTGGTAAAATTTTATCTTCTTTCATAATCTATTTAAATAACTATCGACAATAACTACATAACTATTTAAAATTTTATGAAAACTGGCAACCCTTCAAATGTCATTTTGCTTCGTCTTCGAAAAAGACAGACTATAGACCCGTGCACGGCAGTGGGATCCATAATGGGTTGATGATGATTGAATAAATATTTGTAGTATCATTATTCCAAGTAACCTTCGGATAACGGACAGAAATCACGTAATACAGAAAGTTACGGTAGTACGAGATTGTTACAGTAATAATTATGACTAGTGATACATTTTCAGGGTTATGTACCTAAATAGTGAAAAGCATTGTCCTTTTATGGTGAAAAGGGAATCTCTTTATTTTGTCAGCGTCAGCATTCTACCGGAGCTGGAGTAAACTAAAACCTTTAAAAGAATCAAAGTATATTATTAAATTAAGAACATAGTTTCCCAAAGTAGTCCCTACCGCCCCTCAGTGGGCGCTGAAGAATGCATGGGGAAGCGGTAGGGGACTCGGAAGGAATTGAATTGGAAGGTTTTGACGCTGTCCAGGGAATGCTATCGCATTTGTAAAAAATACCTGTATTATGTATATAGCGTACTTTAAAATATATAATTTTTTTCATCTCACTAGCTCGGAAAGGTTTGCTTTCTCATTAGAATACTGCGCGCGAAAGCGTTTTTTACACGCTAGCGTGGAAAAGGTTCTGAAATTCGAGTTTTACGATGGACTGTGGTGCACATAACTTAATTTTTCGATAAAAAAAAAGATAATGATAAGTTCGACTACGCGATTTGTCGTACTTACTTAATTATATAATATAAATTCGCTGGTATATTCTATTCTTATTATTGTTGCATTAAATTGACAATGATAACAAATTGTGTTTATTAAATAATTTTAATTCGTCGAAGAACTAAAATAATATCGAGTTCTTAGGTTTTCGCGATTGTTACACATAGGAAATGAAACTATTTTTCCGGATTTAAATCGCGTATATTTGTTTTTTCAAACAAACCGACGTTTCGGGCCCTCTACAGGTCCCATGGTCACGGTTGACTGAGGTGGTACAGTCTTCAACCAGTTATGTCTAATATTGATGCAAACCACCCTATTTTTTTACTATAGTTACAATAGTTGTTAATTAGATACCTTATTTTTAATTTTACAAAGAAAACATTCCAATTTACTGCATTAAGTTTTACAAATTATTTTATTGAATGAATTTTTATTAAGTTCAATTTATTATTAATTAATACTAGAATAGAATCATTCTTACGCTTACGCTTCATTTTTACGCTTATTTAACTTGTCTATGGATTTTCACGATTTTTAACGATCGTTGTTATTGCTCTATCTGCTGTGCTTCTGAATGAATCTGCCTTCGTGGTTGAACGGTTACCATGCTGGACTGCCATGTAGAGGTCCCCGGTTCGATTCCCGGGCGGGGAGAAATATTTGTATGGCCACATTTATTTATCTCCTGAGTTTGGGTGTAGGTAATTTGTGATTGTCTACCTATTTAAGTGTCCATGGCAGCCGCGATACTGGGTTTCCGTAGTGCGGGGCTATGAGTGTGTGCATTAAAATGAAAAAAAAAAAAAATGAAATGATGAATATTAATGCGAGAGTCGCCGCGCGATGACGCGCGATGTAGTTGAAAAACAGGACGACGCTTCGTCTCTGCACCAGTGTGAGTTGAGCCTTAGAGGTTGGAAAAAAAAATTAAGGAAGTAAACAATGGAAGTAAAAGTCAAAGTCAAATGATCTTTATTTCATAAGTAAGCAAATTACACTTGAAATCGCCATGCTGATTAAACTCTACTGCTCATTCGTGAGGCAGATTCCCCTGACCAAAAAACTCTAGGGATTGCTCTTTGTAAATATAGCTACCTACCTATCATTAGGTACAATATTTCATTTAAACATCTTAATTCGAGACTATCTGCAAGAGTTAACGGGTCACTACCACGAATTTTTGTCATCCAAGTACGCAGAAGCTGTAAAATTTCCTTTAGTATAAAGTTTTGTCTTATCATAGTTTTAAACCCCGTAAATGGTAAATTTTGAATATCAACATGAATTTTAATGCAGAAGCGTATTGCCCCTTAAATGAATTTGAGACCTTATGAGGACGACTGTCAGGAACAGCTAATTTACTTTTATTCCTTTTATTTTTTTGTCTACAGTATATCTGTAGACAAATATGGATGGTGTTTTCCATATTATGCTTATGATGCCAGCCCTAGGGGTGTCACGGTCACTCGGTTAATCTGGGCCATGAGCTCGTGTGCGTTTTGTTACTATTTGAGCACCATAGCCATCGCACCTTAATGATCTACCTGACACCGTTCTACACTTTCATTGACTGCTCTCCATTCAGAAAATTCAACACCAATTTACATTTGCGGCTGTTAAAATTCATGGTTAAGCATTTGATTTAACATTACCTTATCTATAATGGATGACTCGACTGTTCAGGTAACTTTGTGGCGCTGTCGTTTCTTGAATGCAAGTTACTTAGTTATCTCAGAATGTTATTTAAAAACAAAACAATAGAAATCGAACTTCCTACACTTCATTTATGTAGTTCAAGTTTACATACACACGCAACAAGGAGGGAAATGAGAAAGACCCGTTTACAACAGTGAGACATAGAAGAAAATAGAAGATGAAGAGGCTACGTTCACATGCGAGTTTTGTCAGGTTACTGACTATTAACTAATTATTAAATTATAGTCGTTGTTTTACACCCCATCTTGGCCTTTAAGGGTACCCCATCTTACCCCACAGACGGCGCAAGATGGGGTGATGTTACTTTTTCTGGTTTACGATTTTTTACGTGTTAATTAAGTTACAAATGTACCCAAAAAGGCTTAACTATTGAAGACTGATTCATAAAGGTGATTATTAAAATAAATAAGTTTATATAGAAACATCATTGTCAGTTTTATTGAGCTTCAAACGTTAAGTGTCCCATCTTGCCCCCCTATCCCCTACTTAAATAAAGGTTTTGAGTGTGGTATTACTTTTCACCTTGTTATGCGTACATAAGCATCCAATTGCATTACCAACATTGAGAGAGGAAAAATAATTCCTGCTTCAAAATCAGGTAATGTAGCAGGAATGTTTTTTTTAACGCACACACTCAATATAGCTCCGCACTAGAGAAACTGTGTCGCGGGTGCCATTGACACACACATAGACAACCACAAATTTTGCCCAAAGTCACAAGAGAAATAAATGTAGGCCATACAAATATTTCGAATTGAACCTGGGACCTCTGTGTAGCAGTCCGGCATGGTAACCGTTCGGCCATGGAGGCAGATAAACTCTGTTTGCGTCAGGAGTTTATAAAAACAAATATTGGCAAGAAGCCCACATTGTTTAGCAGTTGGACCATTTGCATGTAACTAAGTACATACATATTACATGATATGGATAACAGATGGGTGGATGATGTCGGGAAGATAGCGCGACATAAGTGAATGTATCTATATAGAGAGCACATTATCACCCAAAATAAAGTAGGGGAACTAAGGAAGCCCCATTGTCCTCGAATCAGCAGCGGTTATCAAGCCAAGAGATTTTCGCCTTCTACGATACTGGCGTGAGACAGGCGCACTACTTCCTTTTTATGATACCAAGGCGGTCCTTTTTTTATAGAATATGTTTCGGTGTGTGTGCCCATGAGCTCCATCAGCTCATCCTGCCCGCCCCCTTTTACCATTGGATATCCAGACGTACGGCGGGATATCATCCTTACTTGGTCGATATTCCCTTCAGTTGTACTATTGTAAGCGCTTAGCTTTTCATCATCTTTTGTTATGCGCACAGCCCGGGAATGGAATTCCCTGCCAGCGTCTGTATTTCTGAATTCATACGACCCGGGTATTTTTAAAGTGCGACTGAATGGGCATCTTCTGGGCAAGCTCGTTCCATCGTAGATCCTATCTTTGATCCAGGGTTAGGTAGTGGCCAAGCAAATCATTTCATTTAAAAAAAAAGAAGTGATGGGACGAATTCGTGCTTCTGGTAGTAAACAACACGCCTACTTATAAGCTAGCTGCAGTGTCACTCAGAGCTTTAAATCCCAAAGGCTTCAGGGGCACTGCCGCTGCGTCCGTCACCCTGAGACATGAAGTTGACAAGTCCCACGTGCCTGTAGTTTCATCATCACCTTGCGCTTCAAAACCGGAACGCAATAATACTCACATTTACAGCTTCGCGGCAGAAATAGGTGCTGGTGAAATTACAAGCACATGGAACTTGTCAACTTATGCCTCAGGGTGACGGGGCAGTAGTAGTGCCCGTCAGATCTTTGAAATATAAAGCCCTGATTGGCACTGTAACTATTATGGACAAGTGTGTGGAATACCATCAGGCGCACGACTTATTCGTCCCGTCACGTGATGTTATATAAAAAAGGTAAAGTGGCAGTACCTACTTCCCTGGACGAACTCGTTCACTAGGAGCTCTACTGCGACTTTTGCATACTCTAAGTCTAATCTTTTTCATCCATTCTCATTGCTAATACCTAGCACATACAGAAACTTCTTGTTTGCTACTGTGTTTTCAAGTATATGTATATTTCATGATTGCAACGTGACGATGCAACCTCCTTCATCGTCATCCCACCTTTTTATCATCCTTTGATTCCTTTGATTCCCTCTGATTCTTGGCCACCTATATTGAAATTTCGAATCGTTCTTTAATTCCTTGTCCTCGTCACTCTTTCCGTCGCCACTCTCTACTAAATTTCCGAAGCGAGCGTGCTCGATTTCATGTAAAATTCTGACCGGTTATACCATTGGAAATCATGTAATCTGACTGCTTGTAAATAATAAAATTTGTAGAAAATACAGGCCTTTTTGGGTCTTTACGCCTTAAATTTACCTTTCTTCCTTTTCCTATTTTACAATAAATGATGAGGCCTTCATTTGGTTCTCAAAACTCTCGGCCACACAAATAAGGCCTATTGAACATTTTAATCGAGAGGATAACGCCAGTAATCGTTCATCCATAGATATCCATTCATTATTCAGTCAGCGCACTTAGCGAAATCGTCCTAAATACTTGCGGGCACACTACACGGACACTAATCGAATATTTGTTCCGGCACTCCTGGACTAACGTTAATCGACTTGTCCAAGTACTTCTCGATGATGAGCATGAATTACTTACATAGGGTATCTAGGTATAGTTCACCATGTCTTGGACGAGTTGAGAATTTTGCAAGAAGATATTGGAAGAATTTAGTGACCCTTCTGCCGCCAAGCTGTAATGTAAGCATTACTGCGTTACATTTTGAAGGGTAAGGGCCACCGAATATGTGGTCTGTGGTAAGGGCGCATTTATTTGACACGAATTTCATTGTTCTCGCTTACTGCGTTGCTGCCGCGCAGCGACCGCGTGCATCTAACTGTCATGGTAAGGCAGGTTCTATCTACTTAGCTTTTACGTTTTAACTTAAATGAACATCTCGGGCGCGCGGGCGAGGCTGGCTTGTAAAGACAAGCCAGGTCTACGCGGAGGCCGCGCGGTTGTTTTATTCAGAGGAATTGAAATGTTGTTGCCTAGTAAATAGAATTCAGATTCGCCATTAATGTACGTGAAAGCGTGGTAACTGGCCGGTCGCCGCGCGGCGGCCTCGCGAAAACTTTCGCGTCGTGTAACTGGGCACTAAAGGTGCTGTTGTAACTACAGGCACATGAGACTGGTCAAGTTTATGTCTCAAGGTGACGGGTGATGACAGTGCCTCTCGTCGGGTCTTTGCGTTAGTTTTTAAATAAACCTTTGTTTTCATTAGTAATTCTTCTATACCGAACGGCAATTTCATACTAAGCAAGAATATACCTAGTGCGTTCTCTTCAGCGATATTTTCTTAAATTTTTATTAAGCAACCTAACTCATTACTTAATTTCATGCTACGTCTGTGTTCCATTTTATCAGCTGTTTAAATCTGCTTAGTTACAGAGCCGTACTCGGGTACACATAATATTACAAATAGCGCATAGCACAATGAACGTATCTCAATTGCTTACGTACATAGTACATACTAGCTAAATATTATGATACGGTAGCTGCGGGAATAGCCACAAATTTTTTGGCTCGTATCTAGTACTCACAATTTACTAAAAATTAATTCCGCAGTATTGCAAATTAAGCCTTCGGCCACTATGCTACCAACGGTCTCAAGGATGATGTGCACATGGAACGCGAGCAGAGCGCACTATCCGTGAGAGGAAACATGGTCTCTCGCCTGCATACCGCTGTAGGTGCTGGCGGTCTGTGGGCGAGCTATAGAAATACCTTTACCCACACATACATTTAACAATTACAATACATAGTTGTAACATGAAATAAAAAAAAAACAAAAATAAAAGAAATAACAATTGGCAAAACGAGAAGGAAATAACTGTAACAATAAATAATTAAGTGATAAGCCACAAAGTGTGCGTGCTGTGCTGTTACGGAATCCGTCATCTGATCAGCTTGGTGTCGTCACACTGCAAGGGCTATGACGCTGATTTTTAGTGGATTTGTTAGCAGCATTCCCTGAATACTTTGCGCGTGCCGTATCACAACCCCCTGAGGTTTCTGCAGTGCCTCATCCCTGTTCTCTGATGCACATCAGCGTAGACAGTTTTATGACCGTGCCACATAAAGTTTCGGTTTCACTACCAATCGCCTCCTGAAGACCATTGCAACTGTATAGGTGGGAAATCTTAGGTAATATCTGATAGAGAATTAACTAAGAAACAAAAAACACTTCGCTCAAAATACACATTTTTGATATAGAATTTGATAAAGTGCTATTAAGGTCCTATTGCCTTTTTGACCTTTTCAAGGACCTCTTTTGTAATAATAATAATTAATAGTTTTGAATAATGGGCCTTGTTTCCGACTGGACCTTATCCTACCTACCTTATTATACAAGCACACGAGGCTCTAATAAAAGTGTAAGTATACTCAAAAAGGTGAATCGAAAACCTTCCTTACAACGGCCCTCTTAACGTCCATACAGAATTATCATTCCGGATGACAGTAGAGGGCCATATTAAGTACCCAAGACACGGGACATCACATCCGTTTTGCACGTCTTTCACCCTCCGTGACTAGAATGTAGGAGTCAAGGAAATGCGTCCTTTGTTACGTAAGGAATGCGAGTAGCCGACTTTATTTTTGTTGGTGTCACTTTCTTTTATCGATTTTTGGGTTAATTGTCTTTGAATTTGGGTTTGGACAGTTTTTGAAATTGTAGATTAGTTACTATTATAAAGATAGGAAATTTCATGCCCTTGGAGTCACATGTGATCATTCGTCAAGTGCCTTTAACAGATAAAAGTCACAAAATAAAATCAACTACATGGAACAAAGTTAGCATTTAAGCTTAAAAGTTACCGACTAATTTCGTCGGTATAATCTTTAAGCATATCCCCCGAAAAGTTGTAATTTTGCAGATGTGGCCTTATTACACTAAGGGTATGATTTTAAATAGTATATTATATAATAGGTATATTACGTTTTCCGTTACGTAGGTACCATTAATCTGTCTTGTAATGGTAAGGGCCTAAATTTCAGTTTCTTCGAATAATGTAAGTCAAGCCGTATCGTTGTACAAACAAACTTTCAGCAATAGGATGCTCGCACAAGAGAACCTGGCATTATAAAATAAATCGCTCGTTGCATTTAATGTCTTCGGATGTCGTTCTTTCTGTAATTACTAGATACAATATAATTTAATAAAATAAATGTTGTGGTTGTTTAGAAGTCCGTTCTTTTCCGTCTTGAAGCTCTCGAAGGGATTGCAGGATATAAAAGTAACAAGAAAAAGGAAATTTACAACAGCGTAAATAACGAGTTCTTAGGTTTTCGCGATTGTTTGTAAACCGCATATAATTCTTTTTTCAAATAAACCATTTCGGGCCCTTTACAGCTCCCATGATCACGGCTGAGCGACCATACATACGTGATTTAGATCCGAAATATAGTTTCATTTCCAAAGCGTGTATAACACTTTCGAGAATATGCTTCGGAAGATTTTTTTTTAACAAACCGTCTTTTAAGTTTTTATTCTTATGAAAAAATAATTAATTCAAATCCCTAGAAACTAGCACAAGTTTGCACAAGCCAATATGCTCTCAATGTTCATAGTGATATGATACAAAGAAATTTTGTTGTTCCTTTCTCTCTGGGAGCTTCGCAACATAATCCAATATCATCACTTACTTAAAGGGACACGCACGTCCTGCTAAGCAACAAAGTGACAGTTTTCCAATACACTGTCGCCTCTCCCTATTAAAATGTACCGCAGGCATCTAACATATGCGTCTGTAGCCGCTCAGCGCATCGGGGACCACATCACGTATTAATGCTCGTATATAAACGAAGCCCTGGTCTTTCCTGCCATACATTTTGTCAGTGAACAAGACGGCAGATAGACAGCCGTCCGGAACATGGTGAAAACAAAGTGTCAATTCAATATGGCCAAAGTAATAGTGTTATTATCATTAGTAGCCCTTTCAAGTGCACATTACTCAGCATCTAAACTAGTAAAGAACATTTACAACGAATGCTTGAGTCAGTATTCTGTGGAATGTGTGAAGCCCAGAGCCCTGCAGTGGATTTCACTTGTGGCGAACGATGACGAGATCAAAATCACTGATAACTTATCTGTTGTGAGAACCGCTACTTTGGAAGATGATAATGTGAACCCAAGATTGGCAAAGGATCCAGTTTACACGATCTTCGATAAAGTGGATGGATTCCTGCAGACGCATTCTATCAAAGTGAAAGTTCCTGAAGAGCTGACGAACAGTGCAGCTTCGGAATATGTGCCGAGGTCTTTGCTTACGGATTTGCCTTCGGAGTTAGATATGCCTTTGGATGGTGAAGAGGAAGTTGAGGAGTTCGAAGGCAGAAAGAAGAAAATCAAACTTCCTAAGCCTTTGAGGATAAAGAGTAGTATGTTTGTTTGTTTTAACATTTAAAAGTTTACTAAGACCTGAATACTTTAAGTTATTGACAAAAAAAATTAATGAAATGTCGATCTGTTTCACTATTCACTTTATACAAAAATGTATAATTTGAGCTATATTATATTTTCAGAGCATGGTTTCATCAAGAAAGTATTGCTGCCTTTTCTCTTGGGTTTGAAGTTCAAGGCTTCGGTTTTGGTTCCTTTAGCCCTCGCTCTCATCGCGCTCAAGACCTGGAAGGCTCTGACCCTCGGTCTTATTTCCCTTGTTCTATCAGGTAAGATAATAACTATGATGAGTATTATACAAATTGAGTACGTGATTTGGTCGAGAATATTTAACCTTTTGGTTGCTTACTTGTAATCTAAAGATTAATAATCTGTTAAAAAGCTTTTCTAATAATTGTAGCTCTTATTAAAGTGACAGTTTTTAAAGCTTAACCGATGGCCGAACATGAAAATAACTTGTAACATAACAAAAAGCAATCTTAAGAACTGTAACAGTATATATATTATGCATCATTCAACTTTTAAGAAAAAAATCATTAAATGTTAAGTAAAGCAACAATTTTCAATGAAGTACATAATAATGAAGTTAATTAACTAGTGGAAATACTTAAGTACTAAGATAAGGTTTATCCCTTCAAAAATAAATAAAATTGTTTCATCCCTCTATGCGAGACAAATTCGATATATGGTTACTTACTTTATTGTCTTTCTCAGGTGCTATGGTAATCTTTAAGTTCACGAAACCCAAGGTGGTGAATTATGAAGTCATCCACTATCCTCAGCACCATGTGGAACACCATGTAGACCATCACGCCGCAGCCTGGGATGCTCATGGCCCCTACCAGGCCAGGTCTTACGAAGATGCACATGACATCGCTTACTCAGGCCAAGTTTGAACTCTTCGACAGCTTTATGATTATTAAGACGGACCTCTGATTAATTTATTTATTTATTCTACTGTAAATAAAAAATATGGAATAAGTTTGAAATGTTCAATATTGTTTTGTTTTCCTTATAGGGGTTCAATGATCAATGGAACTGGGGCAAATAATGCTAACCTCAGTATATCTGTTGGTCAAAGTCCCCTTAGGTAATGGGCTAGCGATGGGCTTCCTGAGCTCCATACCTGACCTACTTCACCCAAGAATTTGTTAATTTATTTAGGTAGCACCTGTCTTAATGGTTCTTAATGTCCTAATGATCTTTGGGTAGTCACAACGTCCCGAAACGAAACTTACGTTCTTTAGTTCCTGTCTTAGTTGTGGGAAAAAACTTTTCACTGTCCTGTTATAAAATGAAATGCAATTGAAATCATTAGTAGATTAAAGAAGTAAATATATATTTAATGATAGCAGATAAGACTTCATGTAAACATTTTGTAGCAATAGCGTCGAAGGTGAGTAAAAAAAAAAGTTCTCTGAGTCTTGCTAACGTGAAAGTTTAATACCATTTATTCTTTCTTAAAAACGGTATAATAAATATCTTATCGAATCACTAAGACACTGTCATCGTCTTTACTTATTTCTTCTATTCTGTTAATAGGATCGTCATAAAAATGTAAATCTTGTTTATCTGTTGAAACTGTGAAATTCACAGGTATTGTTGTAGTAATATTGAATTTATTTTGTTTCTCGTTTTTATTACTATTGTAATGTTTTTGTTTCCCGTTTTCTAAATGTGCTTCCCACTGACCATCAAAGAATTCGTTATCATTATTATTTCTGTTGTATGTTGTGTCTGGGACAAAATATGTTTTAACATTACTCCTATAACTCTTGTCTTCAGTTTTTTTTTTGGTTTGTATATTCTGTTCTTCCTCTATGTTTTTCGCCTCAGTACTGCTTACCAAATCCATGAATAATCTATATGGGAATTTGGTTTCAAATTTTAACGGTGTTTTGTAGTTAGGTGGTTCTATCGTTTCCAGATTTCTTGTTGTAACTGGGTTGCGGGACACGTGAATTTGTTCTTCTAGGTATTTAAGTGCTGTGTTGTTATTTTCGCTTTTGTCCGTATATATGTATTCCTTCGAATTGAAAGTCAGGACGTTGCGGTCACTTCTATTCGGCAGCAGCATACTATCAGAGAAAGTTTTGAATACATTTGAATATTTCATTGGTTTTACTTTGTAAAGATTTAGTAATATGTTGAAATTTTCGTCGAGATTCCTTTTTGGTCGTTCACGTATTTGACCATTGACGATTATTTTTTCTGAAATCTAGAAATTTATATTATAGATTAATGATAAAGTAGTACACTAACCGAGGAATTGCTTATGTTCTACTTGTATATGTATAAGTTGTCTTTGTAAGAAGAAGAAATGAGGTAACGTTAAGAACAAGAAAATATTCGAAACTTAATAGGTTATTAAATTTTAACTGTTGGTTCATCAAAATCATCAACAGACATGGGCCTCTCTCAATGTGCGCCATTTTGCCCGGTCCTCAGCTTGCCGCGTCCATCTGTTTCCAGTAAGCAGCCTTTCGTAGATCGTCACTTCATCTGGTCAGAAGACCATCCCATAATCTACGTTTAATTTGTCTTGTATTTAAAAAAATGTCACTGTTAGATACCGTTATTAGCTGAAATTGATACTTCTCAATAGACGTCTATTTCTTTGGTTAAAACGATGATTCATTGCTACATATCTGACGCATACGCATCCGCGGATTACAGCTGGTCGTAATATCTAATAACATTTTCTTTGGTACGTACGTTAATTAAATGTAATGATTTTAAAAATATCTACAATTATTTTGTATTAATAATCAAGTGCACTTACCAAAGCAGTAGTGAGTAGTGTGCAAATGAAACGACATAGCATGGTGGTGAAACTAATAAACGATCAAGTCGTTTATTAGTTTCAAATTCGTTCAGATGTTTGAAAAATATTGTGTTATCGCTTTCAAAATTTCAAACAACGCCCATTCTTACGATTGCTCCAGGTAAACTGAGTAAAACATGTGGTTTGGTAATTCTGTATGTAGTTTTTTTCCGAAGACCTGACATACTCTGGAGTACATAACGTCGGAAATAGTGCAAATACGCGTAACTAGCATTGGATTATGAGAATCCATTTCGGTAACTTAGTGGCCAAATTAATGCCGCGTAAATGTCGTGGGAACCAAATTAGCGTGATTTACAGGGATCTATTGTTATCAGTCTGTGGACGACATAAGTTGATGCTTTCTGTGTAAAAAAGAAAGTCGGAGCTATTGAAATAACAAAATAATAACGTTAAACCCTTCTCCTGTAAAATTTGGTTTGGTGCAGATACGCGCCTTTTACCAACATCTACTACATACGCGGATTTGCACTATTCCCGACGATAAATAATTCTGTACAATATATGCACTCGGTATAAACTCGGTCATTTCTTAGCTTGTTTCCTCGCAATTTTATTATTTTATCGTTTAAAAAATCCTATATAAGTTCTTTGCTACATAAAAACATACAGGTTGAAAGTTATAGTAAACATGAAATAACGGTTACTAAACCATAAAAAAAATATTCCCATTAATAGTGTTAGTGGTAGGTTGGGACGAAATCGGAATCAGTTTGAAGACACGGTTAGGATTCCTGATTGAACCAAAGGATTCCTTAATTAACTCTTGAAACTGTACCTTGGGAACTATTCATACGGTTTTTAGTTCGAGATGTATTTGCGATATTGCAACAAATATATTTATTAAGTTATAGGCACATGAGACTTGTCAACTTATAGACATAAGTGTCGTCACCCTGCAGCAGCAGTGGCAGTGCTTCTCAGATCTTTGCGATTTAAAACTCTGAGTGGCATTGCATTTGATATGGACAGACGTGTCGCTTACCACCAGGCGCACGACGTGTCACTTGATGACGTTTGATCTTTAATTTTATGAATTTTAAATGTATGAATAGTAAATTGTACGAGTAAAACTGATCGTTTACAGAGCGCTTTATTTTTTTATTTTATTGAGAGAATTTACAAGAAAGCTCCTGGTTTCTATGCTATGGTTTGTGCTGATATCTTTAATATTTAATATATTAGTATTATGTATAGTGTTTAATATTTAATTAAAGTGTTAATTTTATGATGTATATGTATGTTATAAAAAAACCACTAACCTCAAATCAAAATTGCTTTAATCATTTAATGTGCAAAAAGATTAATTAACGTTCATTAAATGCACTATCTTTTGCACACTGTATTGAATTCAATAGCCTATCGCCATACAGAATAATAGTTAATAGGATAATATCTCCACCACTGTTTCGCTTGAGTCCACTGTTCCCTGATCCAATATGGAAATTTTACCATCGGAGACCGCCACTGCGTATTTTCAAATCTACCGTCCAGGTATGCGTACGGTAATCTGCCCATGTAAGCATCATATATGAATTCTAGCACTGAGTGCCTGTAATATAGGAAAATGGGTTTTATTGTATAGTCTGTCTTTTTTGAAGATTTTTGCAGGATTGTTAGATCTCATAAAATGTTGAATAGTCACGTACTGCCCTGATAAGCCCAAAAGCGCTATCTCAATCGGAGTAAGTTTAGAGAAAAACGACTATTTGTAAAATTGTATTTTCGCGCCTTGAAAAAGAAATCTTTTTGAAGATGTTAAAACTTATTTATACGTATTTTGGACTAATAGATTTATTGACATACCTAAATTATCCGTAAATTATACCGATTTTGTGAGATATCGCTACTTTGATTATAAAGAAAGCCGCCAAATCTATTAACAATTTAAGGAAAAATTGAGATACAAAAATACTTCTTAGTGGTTTTTTTAACGCTTTAAGTTAGATAGCGCTATTTCTATAATACCATTAGATGCGAAATTATTATAGCTATTGAATGGTATAAAAAAAAGAAAAGGGTGTATCTCGGAGATAGCGCTTTTCGGCTTAGCAGGACAGTGCAGTGGCTGTCGACAGTTTTATCGATAGATTGACAATTTTGCCAATAATGTCTGAAATGTGAATGTTACGATATTTTAATAATAATTGCGTTATTGCTTTCTTTACTCTTATTTTGACCGTTGGACTATATAGCAAACAATTTTTATTTATATACATTTTTAACAAGAACTGTCGGATTTGATTATCCATATTGAATTAAAATGAAAAACTAAAATGTGTTTTCAATAGACATAGTTCTAAATATTGTGTATGTATGTAAGAACTTAAGAAAATTGACAATTCAAATGAACCTGTGCTCAGCAGTTGGACGAATAAAGGCCCGATGATGATGCAAATGACACAAGTGCGGCTATTTATTGCATATTCGTCACCAACATTTCAACTCAATTCAACTGCCTCCGTGGCTGAACGGTTACCATGCTGGACTGCCACGCAGAGATCTTGGGTTCGATTCCGAAATATTTGTATGGCCTACATTTATTTCTCTCGTGAGTTTGGGTGCAACATGTGGTTGTTTAGGTGTGTGTCTATGATATCCGCGGTACAGGGTTTCCCTAGTGCAGGGCTATGAGTGTGTGCGTTATCATTATCATTAAACTTAACATTCAGTCTACAATCGATAGAATATTTATCGACTGCAATCACTAGCTACTTGTGAGCGGGGAATAATTTTGCGCAATGAATTGTCATTTTGATCCATCTTAAAAAGACGGACTCCAGGCCATTATATCGTCGGATATTGAAATAATTACTACGTACTTCCAAAGGTTGGAGAAGATTAGGAATAATTGCTTTAAGCCGTACACCTATGGATACGTATAACAGTAATTTGAAAATTTGAGATACGATATAATAATAAAAAGATATAATTATAATTATTAATGCAAATATAGATCATCTATCAACTGTGTTACGGTGTAATTGCTATATTCGACGGTTACGACGGTTAGTCCGAAATGACACTTTCCAGAAATAACGTTTGCTCGAATTTTCATAACCTCGAAAGTAACTTTGAGAGGAAAATGTTTTTTTAAACCTTTTTTTGTTAATCCGTGGGAATCTGCTTATAGATACCCCGTTTTATTTTAAACCTAACTTAACCTAACCGAACCTAATCGTCTCTTTGCGATAAACATCCAACATATCCTGAAATGTATCTATCCGGTTTCGTTATAATTCGGTTTTCGGTGTAATGAAAATTCGAACAAACGTTATTTCGGAAAAAAATTCGAGTTTGTGATAGGTTACCATATTCGACTCGTTAGTAATTACTAATACTGTCATTCGAATGACAACTTGGTAACCTACTAATTTTGGGTATGTATCGAATGATCTGAATGAACATTCATTACTAATCAACAGTAATCGGAATATGTAGAGTTTATTTACCTAACTACGAACTAAACTACGATAAACAAGGACAGAAAGTGGAGACTGCCTTGCGACTACATATTATGTTGGTTTCGGATTTTTCGGGATTCGGGATTACTTAAGTACATTAAAAATTGACGTTATTTGGGATAGGTAGGTAGAGTATAATCATTTTTTGTCGGATTTTTCTTGAATATTCTAAAAAACTGGTGGTTGCAGCAAATCTTCGCAAAGTTTTGATAAATATAGTCTACCTGATTTACCGAATCTTGAAAAAATCCGGGGCAAAAAATTTAGTCGCAAGGCAGTCTACTAATCAGTATTATCAAAACATATATTCCATAGAGCATTTCTGCCTAGCCCTCTCTGACATATGGTAAATATCGTAAATGTGACGGAGATAAGGATATCATATTCCGAGATTAATACTCGAGTCGAATGATTGTGCTCGGATTCGACTTAGGCGAATGATTTGCCCATTTGAATGATGAAATTTATTTTAAGTCAAACAAATTGCAGTGCCGTGCAGGGTTACATGGCTGTACTTTATATTATTTTAAGAACTTTTATGTTACCCATGTAATGCAATGAAGAAATGAATATGAATATGAGTAGTATTAGTAACATTCAAAGTCGGGCATCGCTATTACAGATCGTGTCAGCAGACCTTACAGGCTGCGTCTATGTCGCCCCTTATATGGTAATTAACCCTTCACCTACAGCATTGATACCTCACGCCTTTTTGGTCATCTAAGACAGAGCAACATATTATTTTAAAAATCAATCTTACTTACCTGTCAAGAACAACAAAGTAATTGGCCATATGCTTGTTCCTCAGTTGCATGGAGAAGGCATTCATGCCAATAAGACCATCGTACATATTGACCAGCCCTTCATGGTGTAGAGTCAGTGCTGCACCCACATCTACACCTAGCTTCCCCCATTGCCAACCTTCGACGCAGTGAAACCAGCCCCATTCGCTCTGATACATTCAAATAAATACATTAATAAATCTTAAGTTATATATTATTATGTTAAGTATAGGCTGCTTTCTCTCGTATTACTTCATAAAAATAACAAGGATATATTAAAATAGATAGCAAGGGTAAATGGGCGTTAACAAGCGTTAAAATAGTAAGGGCTCATGAATGAAGATGTCAAAAATATTTTCAAGAATATGAAAGTCACTGGTGAAGAGTCATAGAGTCCAGTTTCGTGCACTTTCCTGTAACCGATTTCAATAAAACTAGGCAAATAGATATAATTCCCCAAATTTTTTAGGTAGGTTTTTTTAAATAAAAAAGTTATATCATTTCCAATATTTATTTTAAATATCACACCTCGATCGAGACTACCTGCAAGTGCTAAACGGGTCACTACCACGGCTTTTTGTCATCAAGCCGTATAATAAATATATTATTTACTTAAATCCGTGGTAGTGAACCGTTTAGCTCATGCAGGTAGTCTCGATCGATGATATTTGTAATAAATATTGTAAAGAATAAAAATAAATGTGCATTTATCACACGAATGTCATAAAAATAGT